CCACTGAACTTCAAATTAAAAAACTAGAGAGGAATGTAAGATTTTTTTTTTTTTTTTTTTAGTTACTAAAAATAATTCTTTCCTTTCATATCTGGGGCTATGAATAAAAAAAAAAACCTTTGTGTAAATTCTGTTTTTTAAAATTGACATGTTGGTTTTGAACTGCCTTCTCAGTAGCCATTCTGTTCCCCTTCCTTAGCAAGAAACCCAGCTGTTATGGTGTGGCAATGTGTCCAGTCAAAAACTCCCCTGAAACATAGAGTAGTTGTAAGACCCAGTTCTGACCAATGAATTGCAACTAGAATTTTACTTAGAGGTCTCTGGCTACTGTTTTCTTGATAAGAAGGGGCACGCTTAATTGGCATGCACCTTGAACTCTTCAACTATTCCCTCTCTTCCTGCCTGGAATGCAGATCTTATCCCTGGAGAAAATGACTAGCCATCTTGCAACCATGAAAACAAAAGTCACAAGCTCCAGGTGGCAGAACAGGAAGCAAGAAGGGGCTAGAACAATGCAGGACATCCTCCAGTAACTGTACCCACCCTGCTCTGCCCTCCACTGGATTCCTGGCTATGTGAGAAAAAAAATCACTGCTGTTTGATCCAAGTGCTGGAGTCATTTCTGTTGCGTGCAGCCAAATTCAATACTAATAGATACAGAAGGATACCTGAAAATCGATCCGTCCTAAAACAGCAGGAGTTTTAAACTCAAATGGAAATAGGAGCTAGGCAGATCAAATGTGAGTACATCCGACCAAGTGTGTTAAGGCGCAAAGTAGTGAACTGGAGCGGCTGGCTGCACATAAGCACGTACCACCTGTGGTCCCGCCAGCGGTCGCCACGTGGGCATGGCAGTCCAGCATTCCCACTGCACCAGGACTTCTGATTTTAAAGAGAAGTCCCAGATCTGGATTTTCATGTGAAGCTTCCCAATTTATAAATGTTAACCAAATTTTAAAAATCTTCAATGCTTTATGGATCAAATAAAACATGACTACAGGCTAAATTCGGCAAAAGGCTACCAGCTTTCAACCTTCGTAGAGAAGGTTAAGGCAGAATAAAAAGGATGCCCAAGTTCTAGAGAAATAATGATGGTTAGCTACCAAGCACTTATGTGTCAGATGGTGTTAAGGACTTTACCCCTATGATATCATTTATTTTTTCTAGCTACCGCAGGATGGATTATTATCCCTGTTTCATCAATGAGGAAAATGAGGCTTAGATTAAGTAACTTGCTCAGATTCATAGAGCTTATATGTGACACAGCCAGGATTTCAGCCCAGCCTGTATGACCTGAAGTCTGCACTCTTATACACAATTCATAAGAAATGCCCACTGCAACTGGAAAGCACAAAACCTCTGCCCCAGAAAACTACCAGCCAACCTACGATAAATGAATAGTAGCCCTTGAAGAGACTTCCAAATCAGTTCTAAGAAAGACCCTGACTGACATCCTTTCTTTGCTGCCCTTTAATAAAAGCAGCAAGGCACTGTCCAAACACTCATTTACTGAATGAACACTTGCACAGTGCTTTTCAGTTTATTAAAGTGCTTTTAAATGCATAACTCAGTTAACCCCCATATCATTCTGGTGGTATTATCCTCACCATTTGACAGATAATGAAATGGAGGATTAGAGAGATTAGTGAACTTGCTCAAGATCCAAGCAATTAGCAGAGCCCAGACGCAAGCCCTGGTCGTCTGACGCCAAGTCCTGTGTTCTTTCTGCTTCCTTCACCAGAGCTCCAACTCTACCACCTCACTTTAAAATAACCATCTGTTTGAACTAATTCCTACTTAACTCTAAAGTAACTCTAGTATGTCTGACAACTCCCAGGTACCATATTTACATTTGCATGGATATCTTTATCCTAGAATGTAGTCAGCAAGAGGACAAAAATAAATGTATCAAGTAATACACTCAGAATTGGAATGTAAATGGGCACACACACAAATCTTGGTATCTAATTTTAGAAAGAAACATCCAAAAAGTCCCACGTAGCACAGTGAGCATCTGGCCCCGTGGGAGGCTGCCCACACTGCTTTAAACCTCAATTAGCCCAGAAAGAAAAGGAATGCTGGTATCCTAACTGGCATCCTGCTTTCAGAGGCACCAGTTGGGTGAGGAGCAGAATGACTTTTCATCATGTTCTTCCAGAAAAATGCTAAGGCCCAGAGTTTAAAAAAAAAAAAAAAAAAGGTAAATGCCTCGAAGTAAGTAGGTATTCCTGAAAAGCTGAAACCCTGAAAAGTTCATCACACTGGATGACTATGGAGTTACTCATAGCAATGATTCTCACCTGGGAGCCAAGGCAAAGGGGATGGTAGGTGAACAGTGCCCACTGACCCCAGCCTATGAGCTGATTTAGTATGGGGGTCACATAAGGTTTCAAATCCTGATCAAGTCATCACAGGCTCACTCATCTAATCACTATAGGTGTCTATAACCTCCTTCACAATTAAGTAGAATTGTTTTTTTTTTAAGAGACAGAGTCTCACTCTGTTGCCTGGGCTAGAGTGCCGTGGCATCAGCCTAGCTCACAGCAACCTCAAACTCCTGGGCTCAATCAATCCTCCTGCATCAGCCTCCTGAGTAGCTGGGACTATAGCTACCACGCCTGGCTTAAGTAGACTTTTTTTTTTTTGAGACAGAGTCTCACTCTGTTGCCTGGGCTAGAGTGCCGTGGCTTCAGCCTAGCTCACAGCAACCTCAAACTCCTGGGCTCAAGCGATCCTTCTGCCTCAGCCTCCCAAGTAGCTGGGACCTCAGGCATGCACCACCATGCCTGGCTAATTTTTTCTATATATTTTTAGTTGTCCAGATAATTTCTTTCTATTTTTAGTAGAGACGGGGTCTTGCTCTTGCTCAGGCTGGTCTCGAACTCCTGAGCTCAAACAATCCGCCCGCCTCGGCCTCCCAGAGTGCTAGGATTATAGGCGTGAGCCACCGCGCCCGGCCCTTAAGTAGACTTTTAATTAGTTTTCCTGGTTGCCAATGATCTGAGAATGCAAGTTCCATTATGACAAGGGATCTTGCCTCTTTTGTTCACTGAAATATACCATCCCTGTAAAATGGTGCCTGGCACACAATAGGCTTCAATAAATATTTGCTGAATAAATGAATGAATGATCTGCTGTTGGGATGGATCCTCCTAGACCCATGTGGAACAGTGTAAAGTGGTCAGAGGCCAAAAACAGGCTTCCATTAACTCAGTCATTTGCTTTCTCATTTTCTCTTTAAAGACATACACTACTGCAGTTCAAGTTCCCTGAGATCCACAGTTGGGTCTAATATGTCTTCTTTCATTATCTTCCTACTTTATAACGCCCTCCTCCCATAACTGTGCCTCCAGTGCTCCACAATTTGCCCACCTTCCACTCTGTAACACTCCTACTCAGCTTCTAATATCTAAGTGCATGGCATGCTATGTACTTCACCCACCTCACCCTCTGCAGTAGCAACTGCATGCCTGTTCTATGCCAGGCACTGTGACAGACAAGAGGGTACAATGATAAGGCACAACCCTTTCCTTCCAGAAGCTCACATCTATGAGCAAGCCAGATATGTAAACAATTAGAATACAATATAGTAAGTATTATAATGGAGGTACCATGGCCGAAGTTACAAACTGACAACTCTCAGGCCAAATCCAGCCTAGACTATGATGTGATTTTCATAATTAATTGCTAACCTCTAAAAATTTGTTGCTTCCACATAAAATTTTAGACTGTCAGCATCTCTTGAAAACTCAGAAGATCTGGCAATACTGGGCCTGCATTGCCCACAGCATCGACCAGCTTCAGCTAAGCAGCAGTTGCCCCTTTACAGGGGGCATGTGGCCTCCAGTTCCCGGTCCCCCTACCCCAACCCACTTCCTAGTGTCTTCAGGCAATGAAGCCAAGAGTCGGCTGCCAGTTTTTCTGTGCCGGCATAACGGTTTTAGGGTAAGGATTTCCCATACCCATACTTCTACCATATGTGACAAAATGAAACATAAATTGACAGGGCCATGTGGAAAGCTGAAGAACACGGTGGCAAACATATTTCCTATGAAAGTGAAGAATATTCCTACCTATTTGATATGTAAGTGGAGTGTGTCTGTGTCATGTACCCAGCACATTTTGCTCATGCACCTGTCTGGCCCATGAGGCTTCTCAGCGTAGGTCACCTCATCTGCTGTAAAATGATTATGGGCCAGCAAGCTAGAAGCCAGGTTTCCTGCTGTCTGGGAGCTCACTGTTAGGGGGGTGGACAGACATGTAAAAAGACAATAAGCATATAATGTGATATGTTCTATAGTAGGCATTATGGGAAGTAGGTACTATGGGATAGGTACTAAGTCAGCCTGGAGAAGTTAGAGAAGAGCTAACAGAGGGGATGACCCTGAGATTGACTCTTGAGAAGTTTTTTCAAACGGACAGAAGAAGGTAAAAAGGTGCTCCAAGTAAACCGCCAAAAGCAGTTCCCTGGCATTGAAAAGCACTGCTCATCAAAATTACCCACCCTCTACAAAGAAGATGGATAATTTCCCATAACTCCAGGCCACCCAGAAAAGTTTCCAGGAAAGTAAGGCCAATACATGGTCCTCTTCCTGCCTGAAAACTGTAGAAAGTGCAGGTCGCCACTAAGAGCAAATGTCCAGTTGTGTAATCCATCCAACCTTATATCACCAGCATGCCTCACTGGCATTTATTTGGCAGAAATAAAAACCTGGATTGCTACTGGGTTTTGAAACTTCCCAGTCCCTGGCTTCAGCTAACATAAAAAGTTCTATACTAAGATATAAAGAAATGCAAAGAAACTAGTCTAACATCAAAGAAAAAACTTCCTCCTTCATTTCCTGCTACAAGGACAAGTGCCAAGGAAGGGAATTCCCATATCAAGACAGAAGGAAGGGCTGGCATTCAAGAGAAGAAATGTAGAATACCAAATCCTTGCTTTCTGAGGAATCGCTAACTTTTAAAAAGCATGCCTTCACATTTATTTTTTTAGCACCCACCTCTCCAGTCAGAGTCAAAGAGGAATTCTTGCCACTGAGGTGATTCTCAGCCTGAGCTGGCTCCTGTTGAGCTCGGCGACCCATCTTGGGCCCCTGTAAGGAGAGAGAGAGGGCACTGCTGACCCAATGTCCTTTAAGCTACTATAAGGATGACAATTCTGGGAAGGTAAGCAAGGACTGGGTTTATGATGATATGGTGGAGAAAAGGATTTGAGTAACTTGGAATATGTTCTTAGAAAACTCTCCAAACTCAAAAAAGCACCTGAGGCCTGTTCTATTTGATAGGAGAAGAGTAAATTCATGGGTTAATGATCACAAGGTTTTCTTTTAACAACCATAGGGACTGCAAAAGCAAAATCACTTTTCTACCCAAAGAAATGTGGTTAGAAATTCCTCTAGAATGGGCAGAGACCTCATGCCATGGCTCAGAGAAAAGGGTAAAGGCCCCCATGTTCCTATACGGGATTTTAGGAAGGCCTAATGTCAAGACTGTAGCTTGGCATGAAAATAGTTATTAAACAGGCTTTTGGAAAGAATTTCTAAATTCCATAACAACTGACACCAGAGAAAAACAGATAGCATTTGCTTTGATATATACACTAATTAGATTTGCCTTTACAGACATTAAGGGAAATCTATGACAAGAATTTTGAGATGTTATCTTCGGAAATCAGAGCACTTCAAAATTCTTAGTCATCAAATGAACCATATGCAGGTGTTTCCCAAGGCCCTCCTAGGGTGGAGGCTCTGTGTCTCAAATGCTTTCCGGCACATAAACAAAACTTATTTAGGCAGACTAGTGGGTGTTGAAATATTTATAGTTTTGCTTTACTTTGTTTAAAAAACCAGCATTAATATAAGCACTTTTTAGATCTCACTTAATGTGGTTTCATTTGATTCTCATAATAACAGGGACAGGGACTGACGCCATTTTACAAATAAGGCCCAGGAAGGTGATTAAGTGGCAGACATAAATCTAAGAGTAAATCCTGGGTTCTTTCCACTACACTATGTTGAAATTTGTTTTAAGATGTTGTAAGGGCTGATTGCACCAATGGTTATAGGGGAGTTAAGAAAAACTCTTATGCAGTGTTTACACTTCAAATTGTCATGTCAATCATTTAGGTTTCAGGGATGATGGAAACAATCACTCTGATAAAAAGCAGCTCAATTTCTTTTCAAGGCAGACAATTCCATCCCTTCACCGTGGTTGCCCTTTTCCATCTGTCGTATTATCGGGTATCTGAATATGGCATGCTATATACGGTTGTGCTGAAACAAAAGTTAAATGATCTTGTCTCTAAATGCTATTTACAAATGATTTCTCTAATGGTTGCTAAGAATTTTAAAGTTTTAAATTTCTTAAAGACCGTGTATAAATCTACAGGGTAGAAAAACTACTTTACAACCTGATTTTGTGTCTGTTAAATGTAGTCTGTTTATTGTTTATCTTCCTCCACTAGAATATAAGCTCCCGAGGGCAGGAACTTTGTTTTGTTCACTGGTATATCTCCAGCACCTAGGACAATGCTGATACACAGTAGGGGCTCAATAAATATTTGTTGAAAGGACGAATGAATAAACTACATTCACATCCCCAGGTACTAAAAAAGTTCACCTATCAGAAAGCCCTGGTGACCTAACATTCTCCCCCGCCAATCAGGCAGCCTGCTTCATTCCAGAATAATCTGCGACTGGATCTCATATCTCCCTCAGAGAGGTACTCCTCTCTCTAGTACCTGGAGGACATCCAACGCTACCAGGGCACTTCAAAACACTTAAGAGATTTCAACAGCAGAATCTAAAGACTTGCCCTGTGGCCCAATCTTTTAGTGACTGGGGATCTTGATTAATTTTAAAGATAAAAAGGCTTGATGGGGCTGTGATGTGTAAGATAAACATTTAACTTGGGTCTTGAATCAAGCTCTGTTATTTACTGACTATAACCTTAGTTAAATCACAGCCTCAGAGGCAACAGTAGCTAACCTCTTCTGGTAACTTAGCATATGCCAAGCACTGTGTTAAATGCTTTCTAAGCATTATCTCATTTCATTGTCAATTACATCTCCATTCTAGGCATAATGAAACAGAGGGAAAGGTTTTTTAACCCACGCAACAGCTTTATACTCCATCTGACCTCAAGGCCTGAGCACCTAATCATTTCCTCACGTTCTAAATCAGTCTTGATTTCCTTAACTATGAGACTTAGGTAATGCCCACCTTCCTGTGGGGATTACGGAGAAGAAAGACCGTCCCTGCCTACCTCCCTTCCAGATATAAAACAGTGTGGCTTTTACATGAACTTCTGGAATTGTTTCCAAGGGGAAAACTCTACGACGTGTACAAGTGCCACTCGGGCTAGTGTCCCTTCAATCACCCTCAGATCCGTCTGTCATGGGGTTGTTCGCACTTGGGGCTTCAAAAAGCCGAGAGAGGCTCGGAATTTTCCCACCAGTGGCAGAGGCCGGCGGGAACAGGATCTGTTTTCCACTTTTTGAAGATTTTAAAGAAAGCAAACCCCACGCCAGCAGCGGCGGGGCCCACTGCGACCGAGAGGCGGGGCGGATGATGCCGCCTCCCCCCGGGCCTCAACGGGCGCGGCTCGGGGCCCGCTGCCCTGAGGCGCCTTAGGAAGCCGGAGCCGGCGAGGTCGCTCCTCCCCACCCGCCAAATCCTGTCCCCCAACCCCCGCGTGGGTCCTCACGGAGGCAGCCGAGCCGCGGCGCCACTCCTCGCCCAGTTCCAGCAGATCCTCCATCCCGCTGCCTCCTGACGTCACTTCCTGGGAACCAAGCGGCCCAGCTGCGTCCCTAACGACGGCTCCGCCCTTCGATCCCAATATTTAAAGGGTCCGCCGCATTGTTTCTGGATTCTGTGTGCCACCATCCAACTTAAACCAAATCTTTCCTAAACCTCCCTTGCTTGACTTCCTGAAAAAACCTCTAGATATTAAAACCCGCTAAGGCTGTTCCTGTGGGACAGTGAAATAATTTTACTTTTTAGGAACTGTCTGCATTTGTAGCTCTTCTAAAATACATCAGTAATGAAGTGCAAAGCACTACTGCTAATAGTAGTAATTATAATATTGGTGCCTCCCATTTGTACAGCTCTTTGCAATGTACAGTGGGCCATCCCACGGTTATTAGCTCATGTGAGGGGTATAACAACCTCATATTTGACAGATGAGAAAACAGGTAGGTTCACGGGGAGTCAGGTGTAATAAATGTCTTAGATGAATTATGGAAAATGTAATATACATAATCTTTGCCTTCAAGAAGTTTACAGAAAGAGTGGACCAACACATCAAATAGTTGAGTAGTAATAATTTTCAAAAGTACAAATACCCGATATCTCATTAAATCCCTACATCCCTACAAAGTGAGTAGCAGTAATATCTCTATACAATAATAGAGGACATTGAGGTGTAAAGGGATGGCTTGAGGAAAATCACCTGAGTGCCAAGCAGCAGAGCCCGGTGCCCTTCTGACACCAGATATTACTGGAGTCAGCCATTCTCCTAAGGTGGCAGAGAGAAATGTCCCACAATCTCCCAGCCTAATGGGGCTGTTGAATTGAATCTTGATTGATTTCCCATGTAAGATCCCCAGGTCAACACCACTGGCCTGGTTCCTGGCACTGGGTGTCTGAGACCCACAGGAGATGGGCTGATGGCCCTAAGAATGAACAGTATCCCCCATATTATGCTGGGGATAAGGCCTGGGTGGCCACAGGTCAAAATCAAGGACTTGGAAGTGGGATAGCACCCCTAAAACCAGATTGCAAGCATTTTAAGATACTCAGTAAATTACTCAGTTCAACCATTCATTCTACACGTTTACTGGGTAGGACTGTGCACTAGCATGCCTTGTGACAGCAAGAGCACAGGCCTGGATGTCAGAAGAGTTGAGTTCTCATCCTAGCTCTGTGGTTAACCACCTGTGTAGCCAGGGTGAGCCCTCTCCAGATATCAGTTTCCTCCCTTGGAATTACCCTTAGAGATTACCTCTAAAATCCTCTACTCACTAACTCTGCTTCTCAGTGAGAATATTCTTTTAGATTTTAATCTGAAGAGACATTCATTGCCAAAAATCCAAGACGGATGAAATATAGCCTCCAATTAATCCCTTGTTCCCTTCTTCCTTGGTGCCAGATGGATTTTGGATTTTTCCATTTCTTGTAAGCTCACACCATACCACCACCACCTCATTGTCGGTGTCCAGACCCCTACTCCCACTTCTTCCCCAACTTCCTGAAAAGAAAAGGTGAATGGCCCTTACCTTGGGCAGAGAGAAGCCCTGGAATAGTGGCTTCCAAAACTTGCTGAGCACCCGAATCACATGTGAGGTTTGTTAAAAAATACGGATGGCAGGGCCCCCTCTCTGGAGACTGTGATTTGGTAAAAGTGGGATCCAAAAGGGTAGAACTTTAATAATTTTCCCTCCCATCTTGCAACTGTTTGCTCCAAGGGCTCAGTAAGGCCTTCCCTGATCACCGTATTTTAAATTGCAACATCGCCCAACCTAGGCACTCCCCATCCTCCTCCTCTGCTTGATTTTCTGCCATGGCACTTATCTTTTATCATAATTTACATATTTACATAATTTATATATTTACGTAGTTGATTGCTTCTCCCATTGTCCCATCCCTGCTTCTGAAATATAAGCTCCATGACAGCAAGCGTTTTGTTTTGTTCGCCAATATCGCCACAGAGCCTAGAACATACCTCAGCCTCCGAAGTAGCTAGGACTACTGGCACGTGCCCCCAGGCCTGGCTAATTTTTCTTATTTTTTTTTTTATGGAGACTGCGGTCTCCTCTGTTGCCCAGGCTGATCTCAAACTCCTGGCCTCAAGAGATCCTCCTGTCTCAGCCTCCCAAAGGGCTGGGATTACAGGTGTGAGCCACCGGGACTAGCCTACTTTTAAAGTTGCTGCACCTAGGTTTCCTCATTGGTTATGCAAATGAAAATAATGCCTACCCAAACTAGACAGCCTGTGTTAAATATCCCCTCCGCCACTCACAAGCAGTGTGGCCTTTTGAAAATATCTCTTTGCCTCGGTTCCCTCAACTGTAAAACGATCCACCACTCTCGTGGGAGGCAGTGGACATCCCTCCAGTTGGAGGCCCAGGAGCCAGACCTGCCGGGAAGGGTCCAGGAAGGCTGGAGTGAGGTGGGATGGGAGCAGCACTAATTCTCTGGTTAATGATCAGTTCAGACGCAGCGCTGTGTTGGAGGTGGGGGCAGCAATGTGCTTCGCCCTCCCTACGCTGCTCGTGGGAAAAGACCTAGGAGCTCAGGCTGAGACGAACGAGAGCGGAGAGCAAACTTCCCCTCACCCATCTGGGAAATGGGCTCGGGCCAACAGCTGACTTTGCGCTCGCTGGCGCAGCTCCCCGCGAACCCGCGGCGGGGAGGGCGGCTGCGAACATCTGGACGCCGTTTCCGCGGAGAGCGGCTCGCGCGCGGCGGCCCGGGCAGGGAGAGGTGCACTTGTGCGCACGTGGGGCCGGCAGGGAGGCAACTCCCGGAGGCACCCGGTCTTGTTTTTCTTTCCCTCTCGCGTAGCCCCTTCTGCAGCACCCCAGCCCTGCCCGCTCCGGGCCACCGACCGGCCGAGCCGCCTACACTGGCGGCCTCGCCTCGCCAGGGGGCACCCTCGGTCTTCCGGAAAGCGCCACCATTTTTCACTGCCCCTGGAGCGTCTCCAGGCTTCCGCCGGCCGCCCGACTCCAACCCTGTCAATGAAGAATCGCGGCCAGGATCGCCGCGGAGCTGGACGCGACCCTCCAACCCGCTCGCAGGCCGGGCGTCGCCCGGACAGCGGGGGGCACGGCCGCCCCTGCCGCGCCCCCCACACCCCACACCCCGCGGACCCTGCGCGGTGTCGGGCCAGGCCCGGGCGGCGGGGACTGGGGGCAGGGAGGGAGCGGGGCACCGGCAGAGGCGAGCGCCGACTGACAGCTGGCGCGAGGGCGAACGGGTCGGGGGAGAGGGAGGGAGGGGGATCGTCGGAGTAACTTTCCAGAAAAACAGCCAGCGTGTAGCAGGAGTGACTCCAAGAGGGGAAAAAAAGTTCAGTTACCACGTCGAACGGGAGGACTCGCAAAGTATTTTTCAAATGGGCTCGGCTTTTCCTGTGCCTGTTTAAAACATTAAAATCGTGCAGCAAAAGAGGCTGCGTGCGCTGGTCCCTCCCTCCCCCACCCCAGGCCAGAGACGTCATGGGAGGGAGGTATAAAATTTCAGCAGAGAGAAATAGAGAAAGCAGTGTGTGTGCATGTGTGTGTGTGAGAGGGAGAGGAGCGAGAGGGAGAGAGAGGGGGAGAGAGAGAGGGAGAGGGAGAGAGAGAACGAGAGGGAGAGAGGGAGAGTGAGAAAGGGAGGGAAGCAGAGGCCAAGTCCCAGGGAATAGAGAGGCGAGAGATAGGGGAAGCAGCATGCGAAAGAAGGAATAACAGCTTTCCGGAGCAGGCGTGCAGTGAACTGGCTTCTATTTTCTTTTTCTTTTCCTTTTTATTTTTTTAAAGAGAAGCAGGGGACAGAAGCAATGGCCGAGGGAGAAGACAAGCCGAGGTGCTGGTGACCCAGGGCGTCCAAGTGGATTATTGGGGCTGCTCTCCAGAGGCCTGTCCTCCCTGCCTTCCAATTGCACATAACCCCAACCCCAGCCAATGAAGACGAGAGGCAGCGTGAACAAAGTCATTTAGAAAGCCCCCGAGGAAGTGTAAACAAAAGAGAAAGCATGAATGGAGTGCCTGAGAGACAAGTGTGTCCTGTACTGCCCCCACCTTTAGCTGGGCCAGCAACTGCCCAGCCCTGCCTCTCCCCACCTACTCACTGGTGATCTGATTTTTTTTCTTTTAACATTTTTTTTTTCCTTTTCTTTTCCATTCTCTTTTCGTATTCTCCTTCAGGGCAAGACAAGGATTTTGATTTTGGGACCCAGCCATGGTCCTTCTGCTCCTTCTTTAAAATACCCACTTTCTCCCCATCGCCAAGCGGCGTTTGGCAATATCAGATATCCGCTCTATTTATTTTTACCTAAGGAAAAACTCCAGCTCCCTTCCCACTCCCAGCTGCCTCGCCACCCCTCCCAGCCCTCCGCTGCCCTCCACCTGGCCTGCTGGGAGTCAGAGCCCAGCGAAACCTGTTTAGACACATGGACAAGAATCCCAGCGCTACGAGGCACACAGTCCGCTTCTTCGTCCTCAGGGTTGCCAGCGCTTCCTGGAAGTCCTGAAGCTCTCGCAGTGCAGTGAGTTCATGCACCTTCTTGCCAAGCCTCAGTCTTTGGGATCTGGGGAGGCCGCCTGGTTTTCCTCCCTCCTTCTGCACGTCTGCTGGGGTCTCCTCCTCACCAGGCCTCGCCGTCCCCCCGGCCTCTCTCCCCGGCTCGCACATGAAGATGCACTTGCAAAGGGCTCTGGTGGTCCTGGCCCTGCTGAACTTTGCCACAGTCAGCCTCGCTCTGTCCACTTGCACCACCTTGGACTTTGGCCACATCAAGAAGAAGAGGGTGGAAGCCATTAGGGGACAGATCTTGAGCAAGCTCAGGCTCACCAGCCCCCCTGAGCCATCAGTGATGACCCACGTCCCCTATCAGGTCCTGGCCCTTTACAACAGCACCCGGGAGCTGCTGGAGGAGATGCAGGGGGAGAAGGAAGAAGGCTGCACTCAGGAAAACACCGAGTCGGAATACTATGCCAAAGAAATCCATAAATTCGACATGATCCAGGGGCTGGCGGAGCACAGTAAGTCCAAATTCTTGCTGGGGCTTCTGCTCTGGAGGGTCTGAACTGGAGTAGGGAGCCCCGTGGAGGGGGCCTGGTGCTGGCCGTGCAGGAGGGTGCCCCGGGGTTCACCAGGACCGAGGCTCGGGAGGTGTGATGCGCGGTTGGGGCTGGGGAGGTAGGTAGGGAGGGACACAGAGCCATTCTGGGAAGAGCTGGATACTTCTGGGAGGCCAGGAGCCCTGGAGCCAGTGGCTTGCTGAACTCCCATCACATCCTTGACTGATTTTAATTTGGAATTAGGTCGGGTTGTCCAGGGAAACATATGTGTTCTTGCACATGCGATCGTGTGGGTGACTGTGAGCATCTGTGTGCCACAACGGGGAAGGCCGGCTCTCTCGAGAGCCCTTCAGTTCTCGAGTCTGGAGACCTTGGTCTTCTCCCTGCTTTTTACGACTCTTTGTGACATGTCTCCGGGTCAGTTTTTCCAGTTCTTGGGAAGAAGAGTACCTGCCCTAAATTAATGTCTGTCAAGCTTTTTGAAGCCCAGGCGAGAGACAGCTTCTTGCAGCCTGGGCCCTACCCCACCCACGTGACCCATGTGAGCTGTGTGTAGGGGGAGACGGTATGCACGTATGTTCACAATGTCCCGGTACTTTAGGGCGACATGTAGTCTTGTGTGGTACAGTAGACAGATTCATGTGCTCAAAATGGGCGCCCTCCAGGCTGGTGGCCCGGGGCAGCGCAGGCTTGCGGCTGTGGATGCGCAGCAGAGGGCTGGCGCCCTTTGTGTCTGCGTGTCACGGGAGAGTGGGTGAGGGGGCGGTGGGTGCCGGGGATGTGTCTGGGATCGGGCCTTCCCTGGAGGCTCCCCTCCACGAGGAGGAGCTGGGCAGCTTCTTGGTGAGACGTCTGTGTGTGTTTGTACACGTGTGGAAGTCATGTGTGTTTACTGAACGGGGATTTTAAAAACCTCAATACAAGAGAGAGAAATTTGGCAGATGTTGAGAAACTGACAGCCCAGGAAAGAGGAATGTGAGCCACTTGTGGGCCAGAGACTCTGGGAGCCGCTCTGTTTGCTTTTCCTACCAGCAGGTGTCCTCGCCGCCCTGACTACCTCAGCCCAGGCCCACCTGGGAGGTTGCAGTGCCCGGAGTAGCGGGCGTGGGAGGGTGGGCAGGGGGTGAAAGGGACCTGGCTGGGGAGAAGGAGCAGGAGAGGGTGCTGATGGGCGGACCAGCTCTGGCCAAAGGTGCAGAAGGCCCCGTATGGGGCTGACCCACGCCAGGCAGAGGAGCCTGTGGTTACTGGCGAGGGGCTCCCACTTCAGTTTCCTGTGGCTGCCTGGGGCGCCCTTCCTTAGGATGTGGCTGCTGTGTGGGGCGGAGGCTGAGGCCGAGCTCGTGCTCTCTGCCCAGGGTCCTCTGGGTGGGGCTGGCTCAGAGTCTGCCAGGGGCCCATAGTTCCCAGAGGCACTCAGCAGCTGGAGGGCCCAGCCCCCCCACTCCCTGGGCACCCACCAAGCAGGAGATGGTGGCCACAAACATCAGAGGAGGGTCAAAATCTGAGGCCAGCAGGAGAGGTCTGAGGGGAGTCTAGGGCAAGAGGGCAGGACTGGGACCTTAATGGTCTGGGTCAGGAGGAGGAGTCAGAGGGAGGAGGGAGTCTGAGTCACGAGGGCCCACCCAGCCTGGAATCCTGAGCCGAGAATGAATGAGCCAGCGGGATGCAAGGCCACGCAGGTACAAGCGGACATTGATTTTGTGTAGAGACTCAGGGCACAAAGAGTGGACAGCCTTGGGAAAAGCCAGGGTAGGGCCCCACAGATCTGGGCAGCTCCTGGGCTGCAGCACCAAGACCTTACAGCTGCAGCAGATGGGGAGGCCGTGGGGCCACGGAGCAGTGGTCTGGCCCAGGGCACCTGGGCACAGGGAGCAGGATATTGTTTGGGATGCGGAGCATGGGCCAGCGCCCACCGGGACAGGGGTGATGCTATGGAGGCTCCCAGGTGCAAACAGGAAGCAGGCCCAGACTCTGCAGCTGTTGGAGGTGACACGGAGGCTGAACAGACACGGACCTGGGCCCGCCCTGCAGCTGGTCAGGTGCTGAGCCCGCCTCGAGAGACAGACACACAAGGCACGATAATTATAAAGAAGGCAGTGGGCAGACGCTGAGCAGGAGCTGACAGCCATCCTCAGAGGCACGGGGTGAAGGAAGCCTGTCCTTAACTCGTGAGGGCAGATGGGGTGGGACCAGGTCTGTGGGGGACACCAGCAGGATCTTAATGCCAGAGCTTCTGCTGGGGAGTAAGGAGACCACACTGTTTTCCAGATTTCATCACCCTGGGTCACCTCCCTTACCCAGAGGACAGGCACTGAAGGGGAGTGACGTTAGGAGCCGGGGCAAGGAGCCAGGGAGGAAAGTGAAAGAAGGAATGCTCTCGAGCGGTGCGGGAGAAGGGGCACCGAGGTGAGAGCAGAGAGGAGGGCCGTCCTCCAGCTCTGTCCTGTCTGTGGACACTCTCGCCTCCCTGTCTTACAGATGGGGAAACTGAGATGTGGATCAGTTAAGCCATTTGTCCAAAAAGCAGGGACTCCAGCCTAGACATGCTGCATGCAGAACACAGCTGTTAAGCACGAATGTGTGTGTAAAGTACACATTTTAAGTCCTACCGTTAATCTTTAGGGTTCAACAGAAATTTGATTTATAACATAAATGAATCACATGTTGAACCAAGCAGGAGAGGATAGGACCTATTATCTTAGTGGCCCAGGTGGCAGAGTGCGTAGGGATAACTGGATTTGTTCTTTCTTAGCTCTGCCTATTTTTTCCCAGGAGATTCATACTGCCACAAGTGTTCTCCCAATTTTAACAAAAGGGTTTTCTTTCTTTAATGAGCCTCAGTTAGGTTAAGCAACCATAACCATGCTAAAATCACCTCTCCGAGCTCCAGTTTCCTCATCTGGAAAGTCAGAGCTGGTCTCCAAACTCCCTTTCTGCTGAAAGGATTTTATAATTACGTCTGGGATGATTCAACAGTCTCTGCTGGGGAGTACGGGCAAGACTTTGTAATCCCTTTTATAACTCTCCAGGATTTTGCTATGGGAAGTCAGTTGAGACTTTCTCTGACCCGTAGGGACATGGCTTTTTCAGTTCCTTTGTCATCCTTCTTACGAAGATACTGCCAGTGTAGGTGTTGTTTTATCTTCTGGCTTGTAATTATCTGTGTCTGCTGGGAGACTCTTCTTGTTTTTGGCTAAAGGCAACCAGCAAAGAGTAAACTCAGTATTTTAGACTTTGTTTTCTGGCTGCTAAATGTAGATTTTTTTCATTCTGAAAATTAAAAGACATTTCATATTGCAAACTCATTTGCCTGGAATTCCATGTGAACAGTGGTAGGTCAGCGCTTCTCCAGGTGTGGTCCAGAGGCAAGGTACATGTGGACTCCCAGGCCCCACCCCACCCTTACAGAATCAGAATCTCAGGGGGGTGGGGTCCTGGGGAATCTGTATTTTCAACAACACAGAAGCTGAAGACTCTATAAGTGAACTAGAGCAAAACCTTTCCTTAGAAGGGTTGCAAACACAAGTGCCCACAGAGACCAGGAGGGAAATGCACGTGATCTAGAAGAAAAGCCATGGCACAAGCCCATGATGAACTTCCCAGGACACTTGGCCTTGGGGTCATGAAGAAAATAGGATGTGTGTGGCAGAGGCAGGGAGTGGACCTGGAGCCCACGTGCCCTGTTAACAGAGGCAGCCACTGCTCAGCTCCTGCTGGGTTTTGTAGTCAGGAGTGTGGGTCCAGCTTGACTAGCTCTTACCTTTTCCCAAAAGAACAGAAAACCTGGATCTTTCTGTGAAATCTTCCAATTTTTAACACGGGCTTAGAATGTTTATGGGCTTCTAGTTCAAAATTTTTCAAGATGATGCATTGGCTAAACAACATGTCTAATTCATTTAAAAGTGAATCCATTTAAACCATTAAAGTTTAAATGGCAGTGGTTTCTCAAACTTCCAGAACACCTGGGAGCCATGGGTACCCATTGCAGAACATTATAAACTGTGGTTCTCAACCTTGGCTGCACATTAGAATCATCTGGAGATCTTTAAAAAAAAAATGCTGTATTTGTATCCACTCACTCCAATGTAGTCAGAATTGCTGGGGAGTGGTTCCAGGCAGCATCTGTTTTTAAAGTTCTCCAGGTGATTCTAATGTACAGCCAGGGTAGAGAAGTACAGCCACACTCATATATACAGTCCCTTCATTGGAACCAGCAGAAATGATGTATGCAAGCAAAGGCACACCTTCCAGCCCAGGTGTCTGAAAACATTTTAAAAGGCAGTTAACTAAACATGGTCAGCTATTTCCTGGTTTTTCCATGAATCCTCTACATGAATATTCTTTGCCTGTTTTTTTGCTCCCTAAAGCAAAATAGAGAAAAATGGCATTCATCAATATATACTTTTCTGTGCAATGGAAAAAGTTGGTCATAATTTAATTTGTAAAAGTGGGACCCCCTAATCCAGCTCTCAATAATACTAGTGTTCTGCAGAGGCATGGCTTAGGAAACATGAAACTGATTGGCAGTTGGCCCTTGTTGGAGGTTGGTGCTCTAGCCCCATTTCATGGAATCCTGCCACATTTTGTTGCAGAAACCATCTCTACTAGATGATCTCCCCTGTCTCCTCCAGCTTCTAGAGTCTCTGCTTCAATAAATAAGGTGTAGTCAGAAGACCTGTCTTCAAATCCCACCTATGCTACCTGCTAGCTAAGTGACCCGCTAGCTAAGTGACCTAGCTAAAGTGACTGTCACTCAGTTTCCTCACTTGTAGAATGATAAATTGTATTCTCATTCTCCTCAAGGGTTCTTAGAGGGTCAGGTGAGTTACTAAAAGCTCTCTGCAATGTAAGGTGGTGCTATTACATTTTGTTTATTTACACTCTGACTCATTGCACAAATTATTTAAAACATTATTATTCACTGGATTTAATTGTCAAGAAGATTCTACTTACATTTTTTTTTCTCTCCCAGGCAATTCTCTTTAAATCACTAATAACGGTGTCCGAACTTTGCTTGCTAGTGTCAAGTGGCTCGTGTCAATTAACTCGCTTGTGACCTTGGCCAAGACCCTTCTGGACGTTGGGTTCTTCCTCTAAAGAGGGTTGCGCTCGATGACTCCTGATGGACCTTCTAACGCAGTTGGAAATCTATAGCTCCCAGTGACAGCAAATGAGCCTGCCCGCCTCCTTCTTGAAATCTCCTTACAGTTCTCACCAGGAGAATCCGAGGGAGCAGATGTAGGATTGACGGGCTGCAAGAAACCAAAGCGGACGGTCACTAGGCGTCCTGAGGACTCCCTTAGCTCATTGCTTCCCATCTCCTGGCTCCCCACTGCCCCGACCCCACTGAGTCTCCGCACCAGCAGGTGCTCTTTCCGCTCCCCTTTTCCTTTTTACAGCAAGGTGCACTTGGCACTGACCCTTTATTCCTCCTGCTGGAGGTGCTGTTACAGCTGAAGCCGTACTGATGACAGCTCTGTCCTTGAGAAGGTTGCCAGTCCAACTAGCATGTCCAGAGGATTACAAGCTTGCACACTTACACACTAGATTGTTGTCACTGATTCCTCTCTGGTTCTATCCGAGATGGTTTAGGGAATAGTTGGCAGTACTTGTTCTCTCAAAGCCAATTATTAATCAAGGCTTCATTAGCCGGCATTCACACATTTGTTTTCCTAACAGCTGTTCCATTAATTTTCTAAGAACCAGTGTCAGGCCGACCAGATGGCAATTTCCAGAAACACTCATTCATCCTTTCCTAAAGATCAGTAGCGCATGTGCTTGTTTCCAGGCCTCCGATCCTTCCTGCCTTGTCCGTGACTTCCTAAATCACCCCTCAGGGTGATCATGAGCTCATTCCAGTCATGTCCATTGTGTGTGGAATCTGGGTCTGTGAGCCTGAATTTCAAGTTCCGGCTATTGTTACCATTTGTGTAGAAAGTTTTTCTCTGGGTGTTCATGCTGCTCAGACTTTGAGGTTATAAAGTGCACAGGAGCAGAAAAAAGATAGGATCTTTCCTTTATCTGGCTCTGAGGGGTGGGAAAGAGAATTGGCTGCCTGTGTCTTGTGGACGGGGATGAAGAGGCCGCTGGGTGACAGAGGCTGGCGTAGCACATGCTGTCAAGGAAAAAGACCCTCAGAGAGAAAGGAAGCAATGGTGACCGAGCAGCTCGGTCCGAAGAAACACCTGTGTTTCAGCCAGGCTCAAAATGTGGGCTGTTTGCCATATAAACCCTGCTTCATTAGGTCTGAAACACAGGGCTGATATGTCACTGCACCACTCAAACACTTTCTGTGCTCTCTACAGTTACCAGGATAAATTTTTTTTGTGTTATATTTGGAGACGGGGATCTCGCTATGTTGCCCAGGCTGGTCTTGAACTCCTGGCCTCAAGCCATCCTCCTGCCTCAGCCTCCCGAGTAGCTGGGACTATAGGCATTCAGCCACCATGCCCAGCAACAGGATAAAATCCAACCTTTCAGTCTGACGTGTGGGCCTCCCTGCAGGGGACCCCGGCCTTGCTGCTTCAGAGCAGCAGCTCCCCCTCCCTGCCTTTGCTTCTTGCAGCCCCGCCATGTACAAATTCTTTCCTCCTCACCCTCAAACCTCCTCCCGCAGGGCCCAGATCGGTTATCACCTCTTCCGTGAAGCGCTCCCTGCTCTCTCCCTCCTTTGATTTCCTGTGGCAACTCCTGCCCTTCTCCAAAGACCCCGTCTCTCTGGCCTTGTCAGTTGGGTCCATGTATTAACAATTTCCCTGGATGTTAATCCCCTCGATGCAGAGGCTGTGTCTGCTCGCTTTCTGCCTCCCAGTGTCATCGCTGTGCTTGGCACATTGTGTTTGCTTGGTACGTGCTTGGCAAGTGAATGAGGGTCGGAATGGACAAACGTGAATGGATTAACTAGCTATACGAGGGGGCATTGCTCATCCCTTCTGAGAATCCATGTTTTCTAAGAGTAAACAGGAGAGGGCAGTTACTTGACCGGCCAGTCTCTAGGGCCACGTCCTGGGGCTCTGAGCTCTCGCTGCTCCTTGCTCGGGGTCCTGTGTGGTTCTAGGGTCACCGAGAAGCTTCCTCCTATCTCCAGCTTTAAGTTTGAGGGCTCACGCCTCCAGGGAGGTGACTTGGTGCGTGTCGGCGGCAGCACACACCGTTCCTGTGGCCCTCACTCACGCTGTGCCTCTCCCCGCGGCTTTCTCTCCTAGATGAGCTGGCCGTCTGCCCCAAAGGAATTACCTCCAAGGTTTTCCGCTTCAACGTGTCCTCAGTGGAGAAAAATGGAACCAACCTGTTCCGAGCAGAATTCCGGGTCTTGCGGGTGCCCAACCCCAGTTCCAAGCGCAACGAGCAGAGGATCGAGCTCTTCCAGGTGAGAAGCCAGTTTCTTTTCTGTGTCGGGCCTGTGCTGGGCACAGAGGGCCACAGACCTGGGCTTGAATCCTGGCTTCTCTGAGCCTCAGTTTCTGTGTCTGTCGTTAAGAGGACTAAGAGTTATGGTGCAGAAACCTTTAGTGTCCTGTGGCTGCCCTCCGGCACTGTGCCACATCCTGGGGTACTCTGTCCTGGCCTTGGGTACTAAATCCTTTCTCTGCTCGTAGATACTTCGGCCGGATGAGCACATCGCCAAACAGCGCTATATTGGTGGCAAGAATCTGCCCACGCGGGGCACAGCCGAGTGGCTGTCTTTTGATGTCACTGACACTGTGCGTGAGTGGCTGTTGAGAAGAGGTAGGTTGACCCTTAGGAGGAGCATCTCAGAAGGAACCTCACGGCCCTTGCTCCTTTGTGCAGCAGAGGGAAGAAGACAGACTTAGGGGCGTCGCACACCTGGGTGCAGAGCCCAGCTTTGCCGCCGAGCCTCTGAGTATCCCCCATTCATTCCCTCAACTATAAGTATCTTTATTCAGTGCTCACTCTAACCCAGGCCCTGGGGAGGTAGCTGCGCACAGATAGGTGAGGCCCCACATCTCATGGGGCTTTCGTTCTGGTGGGAAAGACACAGAATAAACAGGTAAACGTTGGATGCGTAAGAGTTTGAGACAGTGGAAAGTGAAAAATAGAAAGAGGGCAATGTGATATGAGCGGTGGGGCCCAGCGTCAGCTGCTCAGGGAAGGCTCTAGGACAAGGCATTTGTGCGTCGGGGTCTGAGTGATAAGCAGAGGTCAGCCCATGAAGGTCAGGGTAAAGTATGTCCTCAGCAGAGGAAACAGGGAGGCCTGAGCTCTCAGGTGGAAACAGCTTGATCTGTTCTAGCAGCAGCAAACAGACTGGCATGGTGGGAGCATAGTGAGCTGTGGGTGGGGGGATCAGAGAGGTTGCTGGGCCATATAATTTAATTTAGGAAGCTGTTAGGCCATGGGAAGGTTTCAGGATTTGTTCCAGGTGTGGTAAGAAGCTGTGGGAATGCTATCAGCAGGGCTGGGGATGTGGGTGAGGCAATTTGGTTTACATCTTTAAAAGATCCCTCTGGTTGCCATGAGGTCAAGGGAAGAGGCAGGAAGCCCAGTTAGGCCACTGCAGCTACCCGGATGAGGGCACAGGGGCTCACACGAGGGTGGCAACAGTGGGTGTGGAGATTATGTGGCTTGCTGTGTATTTGGAGGTAGAGCCAATAGCTCTGGCTGACGAGGTGGGGGGTGTGAGGACACAAGATGAGTCCCAGATGGCTTCCAAACCGCTGGACTGACCATCCAGATGGTATCACTTACTGAAACAGGGAAGACTGGGAGAAGAACAGGCTTGGCCAATTCCGTTTGAAGGGGCTGGTAGTCTTCCAAGTAGAGCTATCCAGTAGGTATGGCAGGCGTCACATGTCCCAGATGCCTTACCCACTCAGTTTGACTCCTCACCTGGAAAATACGGTAATGGTCACTCGCCTGCATGCCTCACAGAGCTGTTTTAAGCATCAGATGTAACTGAGAGAACTTCATAGCTTGCAACATTTTACAAGAGCGAGCTTTTATTATGTCAGACAAGGAAACTGAGGCTCAGAGAAGTGACTTGACCAAGGCCATGCAGTCTGGAGCAGAGATTTGGCGTCTGCTGACACTATGCCCTGTGTTTCCCTCCCTCTCCTTGGCTGGCACTGCCTGGTCTGGCTGCTCAGTGAGGTGGGTTACACGTGGCAGTCCCATCTGTCCCTCCTCTCCCTCTTAGGAAGGGTTTTCTGCCATCAGCAGCTGCTTTAAAGCCACAGGCCATCCACACATTGACACCCAGAGTCACTGAGGCAGGGGGGATCCTCCCATGTCCTTGGTGTTTTAGGAAACTAGGGGTTAAGACTGGAAGGCAGCCTCACAAACTGCTTGGCCTGCATTTTGTTTTAAAATTTAGCTAGTGGTCAACAATTTTTTTTTTTTAAGTCAGGAGATTTCACATAAAACCTGGACTTCTGGCTTTTCTTGAAAAATTGGAAGATTTCCTGGTAACCACCCACCAGGAAAGTGGTCCTGGCCACCTCTTCAGGAGGGGTGTGCATCTTCAGTCCCCACAGCCCCCACCGTCCTCACTGTTCTCCAAGAGTGAGGTTGGCAACTCCTATTTAGCATCACATGATGGCTCGATTTGCTCACTTACGTGACCTGCCTGGGCTCTGTAGGCATCCGAATTTGCAAGCCCCCATCTAAGGGACATTATTGAGTGGCTGAGTTGGCAGCTGGTGGGCTGGAGGTCCTGCCCCAGTCCCAAGGGTACCCAGGAATTCCATCCTGTCCCTTCTATGAGCATGAAGGCAAAAGCCTAGGCTAACCCACGTGGATCTGCCGGCAGCAGCACTGTTGGGGATTCTGACTCAGACGGCACTCTGCCTGGAGCCCGACACCGCTGCAGAAAGGAGGGGCTGGGGAAATTAATCTCTTAGCTTCCCTGTCTGATTTTGATCAGGTCCACCTGGATTTCTTTGAAGCCCTGGGCACTTGAAGGAGTTCTTATTTTCACAGCTGCAGAACTCAATGAGGAGTTTGCATTGAGAATGATTTCCATCCTCCTGAGACATCAAAAAGATAATTTCGTAATAAAACCTATGGGTCCCCCACCCACCATCCCCACGGCTGCCAATTCTGAGGTTAGTTCTTCATTGGAACCTTCAGTTCCCACTTAGGCAAATACTGCCCACCCCTCCCACAGGGGAGTCATAGCACAGGCCTTTACTTACACCGAGCTCATGAGTCTCTCAGCCCCAAACCAGGCAGCAAATGGACTCCAAATTGGAGCAGTTGGTGTGGTTTGATGAGGAAACTGAGTCACACATGTGGTCTTAGATTCACAAGGGTATGAGGACCTGGGTGCCCAGTGACCCTGGATAGGGCCCCAACCAGCTCTGACCATAGCCAGCGGGCTCCTGGCTGTCTGTGTTGGAATCCTGGCACTACCACCTACTGGTTGGACACCTTGGGCAAGCCATGTAATTTCCCTAAGCCTCAGCGTCCTCATCTGCACAATGGGGGGATAAGAATGGTTCTTACTTTGTAGGATTATTATAGAGATTAAATGAGTTAATGCCGATAAAATCTCACAGCAGGGTTTGATGTTGGCTATTGCTGTCATCATCTCTGAGCCCTCTACCTAGATAGAGCCTGTTGGCCAATCTAGGTCATGCTCACCTCCTGCTCACCACCTGTACCTTAACACTCACTCTCCCCAACACAGCCGTCTGCACCTTGACTCTCTAACTCACAGAATCATAGAACTTGCCCACTCCAGGTCTCTTCGGTCCACCTTGAACCACTTCGAACGGGAAGTACACTGTGTTGTTAGGTAGCCCATTTCAGATATTCCAGCTCTTTCTTCTAGCTGCCTTAGACGAGGGAGAGGACACTCCTCATGCCTCCCTCTCTGTTCACTTCTTCTTCTCTCGCTGGGGCTCAGCTGCCTTGTTGGTCTGCCTTTCCCCTGAGTAACTCTTTGGAACAGAGTTTCATGCTCAACAGGTGTTGGCATGTCCCAGGGGTTGCCCTGACTTCTTGGAGCAGAACAGATCTTGTTGGGCTCTGGAATTTATGGAAGAAGGGAGCAACTGGGTTTTTTGTTTTGTTTTGTTTTTTGCTTTTTTGGGTTTTTTTTTTTTTGAGACAGGGTGTCACTCTGTTGCCCAGACTAGAGTACAGTGGCATCATCATAACTCTTTGCAGCCTCAAACTCCTGGGGTCAAGCCATCCTCCTGCCTCAGCCTCCTGAGTAGCTGGGACTACAGGTGTGCATCACCATGTCTGGCTAATTTTTTTATTTTTTGTAGCGACAGGGTCTCGCTGTGTTCCTCAGGCTGGTCTCAGGGAGCTGGTGTTTAGCCAGTAGGACTAGGATGGCCAGGCCCACCTCATGGTGACTATAATCGCCAGGCTTGTGCCATCCTGCCCGTGAGAAGGATGTTCAGCCAGGCTGGACTCTTGGGGGTTTTCCCCGATGACATCAGATTTCAGGAAGGGCCCAGGTTGGCCCCGAGGCCAGACACTCACATGCATCACCTGTGGCCTCAGGGAGCAGTAAATCAATCAGTTCACTGAGACGCTGACCCTGAACCTAGAGGGGTCCCTCCCCCATGACCTCTTCTACACCTGGCCACAGCTGACTGCTACCCCAGGATCAACAGAGCCTCCCAGACATGATACCAGAATTGACATGATACTGGATCCTCCCTGGTTTCCCCTGTGTAAAACTACTTGATTCGGTATAAACTTTTCATTTACTTTTTATTTTTCCTTTTTTTCTGCCACTTCACTCAACCCCATTTACCGATTTCCCGGCTTCCTTGATTTTGGTTGCAAAAATACACGATCCCACGAGTACTAGGAGAAAGGGCCGGAGTTGGCCTTCATGCACCGGAATGTCCGTCACCAAACCCTGGCACTTCCAGGCTTCATCACGCTCATTCTCTCTGAGCTCATGTCATCTGGACCCTTGGCCATGCCCTCTGTCATCTCTGGTCTCTTCTCTAAGTTTACAGCTGTCTTGACTGTTCATCTTGCTGAATGATCCACATTCCAACTTCTCGTCATGGTGAATAAGGGTTTCCAAAGGAGAAACATCTGAGTAATTTTCACCTCATTATATCCTTGTTCCTTTGGAGAAACACTGCCAAGTATAACCATGATGTTCATCTTATCTCCTCCGGAATCTACCACTTTCTCGTATCCACCGTCATAGCCTGGTAGAAATGCTTGCACAGTCCACTGATTCTGCCTCTTACTTGCAGGTGTGACCTTGCCTCTAGCAGTGATTCCTGACTGTTAATGCTATTGCCCAGCCTTGCATCATGTGGCCCTTTGAATTTGTGGCCTTTTGAATCACTGTCTCACTGCTCTAGTTTGTTTTTTCTTTTCCTTTTCTTTTTTTACTACTAGGCTGAAGTGATCCTCCTGCTTCAGTCTCCCAAGTAGCTGGGACTACAGGCATGTGCCACCATGCCTGGCTAACTTTAAAACAGAAGTTTTTTTTTTTTTTTAGAGATGGGGTCTTGCTATGTTGCCCAGGCTGGTCTTGAACTCCTGGCCTCAAGTAATCCTCCTGCTTCAGTCTCCCAAGTAGCTGGGACTACAGGCATGTGCCACCATGCCTGGCTAACTTTAAAACAGAAGTTTTTTTTTTTTTTTAGA